TTCAAAAAAGTCTTCTGCGACACATGTATCATGCATGTATCTCACACACAGGTATACATGGATATACATGTGATACATAATTGATACAAATATGATACATATGTAATACACAAATGATACACATATAATTTTTTCATGTTCAGTTTTTACTTCGAATTTTCAATCCAAACCACCTCAAAACTTCACCAAATCGTCCCAAAACTGATATTCAAGCTCCTTAAGTTGTGCCCAATCTATTCTAATAGCACCCACTCAAAACAAAGCAAAAATTTGATATTCTTTTTTGCTACAAATAGCTAATTGGCTAATTTGGCTAATATTATAATATTTTATCAATTGGCCAATTTTTGTAATGAACTACTTATGAATGGACATAGCTGGTAATTTCCCTTAAAAAATTAACAATAAATTTGAAGGTAACATAGCAAGTATCTATCTTAGTTACTGTAAAGGCCAATTTATACGGTTCTCTTGTCTATATAAATATACTAGTTCCTGTACACGTGCGTTGCATGTGAATCCCATATTAATTTTACGTAATGCATATTTAAAAATTGTTAAAATTAATGCATACATATTTTAAAAATATTTGATTGAAATATTACTATCTAAAAAGGTAATCAGTATTGTTCCATCTTTAATACCTATTATGATGAGGTTAAAGGTCGTACTGTCTGACCAACTCTATCTCTGTTATAATTTTCAACGATGACACAATCAATTAAAATTTCTCTTTTCTTTGGACTATGCAACATATATGTTATGTAAAGACGGTTTAAAAATGAAAGCAATTTTACAAATATTTCTAAAAGAATTTTCTTTTCCCAAAATGGAAATGAATATGCAGATATTTTGACACGTTGTGGGAAAATATGCGAAAATTACCACGATACTATTTCATATTCCATGGAAATTCTATCCACATGACTGAAGTAGGATTTATAATGTTCTCCAATAGTGCCAAATGAAGTTGATTTAAAGCCTGATATTAACATAAATAAATGAATATATAATGTATGTCTTCACATAATTATAATTTTAAAAAAAATGCAAGAATCATGTTTGTATTCATTCATGTATATTGGATTAGATGATAAAATATGGGTTGTACTATGTTTTCAAAAGTAAGAATGTTACTGCCAAAATAGCTTTGAACACTCAAAATTCAAAAAACTAAGTATTCGCGAGAAGCATAGTACATATAAAGACATTAAAGTATAAAGAGAATTAACACTTGTTTTAGCAACTAAATTGTAGGAGTAGTTCTAAATAGCTAGCAGCAAAATTGGAGGTGTAGTCCCAAAAAGCTAGTACGTATGATACCAAACCACCATAGCATAAAAATGAAGAGTAATTACTTTACGTAAGAAAATGAATTTAATAGTTACCAAAACGTCATTATCAGATTCTTAACATTCTAAGAGTGAGTGATCCAGATTCCAGGTCTTGTGTATATGCTCATGCGGTTTTTTAATCCAAGGCTTGGTCTGTATCATTGCTGCATATGCAATTAATCTTTCTGAGAGTTTGAGAAAAGAAGTTCATAGTGAGGCAATGAATACTAATTATGTTGCCATTGCCATCTCAACTTCTCATTATAGGAACCTTCTCTTGTGTAACTGAATATTTAATTATGTAAAAGAATTTTGGGAAGAACGATCTTAAATATGGAGATGAAAGATAATTAAGTTGGACAATTGTAACTTTATGTTATAACTTAAAGGGAACTGAATGAGAGATCGAATGGAAACATGGAAAAGAAATTCTCAAGACCATTGTGTTATAAGCTCTCCAAACGTCCAGAGCAGGAACAAGAGATTTGTCGCCGGATTTTTATATTATATCTGCATTTAGTAGATGAATATGGTCCATTCATTGAATTAGTTAAATGAATTTTGTACATTAATTATTCAAGGCAACTCCTCAAATTCTCCAAATTTAATTTTCTATAACAGCAAAGAGAATTTTGGTTAATGTACTATTTTATGAATGAGATAATATATTATATATATCTTTCTATGGGTATTGCAGCTGTCAGCCTTTTATTTCCTCATTATATAGAGGTTAAAATGACTTTTTATATGACTTATCATCAATAACCCAGGTTATTCTATAAATTGTTTGCAATTTCCACGTTCATATACATTGTATATGAACAGATATCGGTAGCTTCATAAATTTGCTATAATGTATATTTACTTTTTTGTATAAATATAATTGTAGATATAATATTTTATTGAGGAATAAAATAGGTATTTCAAATTTTCATGGACATTTTAGTAAATTCAACTTTACCTAAGAGTCTTCACACTTATGATAAAAGAGGGACATAGAAAGTCTGACGTGGCACATCCAATAGATGAGTATTCCTATTTATCCTTTTTTCCTGTTTTTTTTGCATTTTCCCAATCTTTTTCTGCAATTTTGTTCTTTTATTGTGATTTAAAAGCTCAAGAGTTGTGTTCTTCCAAATAAAGATGGAACGGTTTGTGTTCTTCCAATAACATGGAACGGTTGCAACAATTACTAAAACATAACGGTAGCAATTTCAAAGGAGTGGCTGGCAATTAATACACCACTCTTCCTCATAATAACCAACCTTTCACCCAGTTTATTCTTTATAAAACTTAATATAAAGAACATATATACATCAACAAAAAAAGAACAAGAAGAAGAAGAAGCTTTTAAACTCAGAATTGGATTTGCAAGAAAAATATTACTAGGGAGTTAGAGTTCAAACTTCCAAGAAGGAAAGGACAAATCACGTTTTGCTGGCAACATATCTGTTGCATCAGTAATTGTGCTATGCATTTACTGATAGATTTCATGTACAAAGTTCTCTTCTCATTCTTCTAATGCTCTGCTTTTGATGATTGCACTTTTTAATTACTAAAGGGTTAAGATATTTTCATCATATGGATATGGATACATTCATCGCGATATTTAGGTAAGTTCGATTCTTAGTTTAATCCATTACAAACTTTTTGTTGATGCATTGACCGGCATTTAACTATTTTATAACATTAGTTAAGAGGTATTATGGGGCTTCAGTGCGACAATCTTGCTTGATTAATCATGATTGAACTTTTAGAAAGTGATCTAAGATCTCTTTCGAGTTAGTACATGGAATAAATTTTTTCCTCAAGCTAACTCTCTGTTACTTCTCACAGAAGTATGGCAACATCAACACTCAAGTCCAACATTGATTATAGGATGAACAAAAAAAAAACTCTCACTTATTTTTTGAAATACCAAGTATTGTTCCTTTTGATTTATTTTACAGGATATAGCGCCAGAGGACATGGAGCAATTACGTGGATATGATTTCAAGTAATATTTTTATTCAGTTAGGTGATCTATGTAGCTAATGACATTGAAAAATGCAACCCCAACCTTAATTATGACAGATTGTGAGAGGAACAAATGATACTCTTGAGGTACTTTTTAAACTATTTACTTACTCTTGACTGAAAAAGAAAAAAAAAGAAGAAGAAGAAGAAGAGGAGGAAAGGCAAAAGACGAGAAAAATGTGTAGTTTCACCTATATGGATTAATAAGAGAAAGGATCAACTATCTCTAGAAATAATAAAACTCCAATAATGACAAACTAGAAAAAATACCTAGTGATACTTCATCTAAAAGACTTTTGTTGCATTCATCGTTTAAATTTTTTACATTAATCTTAACGTATTGGTCAAGATAGAGGTTGTATGAGCAATTCAATTTTGATAAATATTTTCATCTTAAGAATTTTGTATGATCATCATTATTATTTTTTCTCCTTTTTTTTAATTCTTTCCCCTCATTTTTCATTTATTTTATTTTTAATAGCTCAATATGTCATTAATTTCTTTCATCTTTATTATACCATTTATACTCTTTTCCGAAACGTCTCCTTCATTCCTAACGCCTCCTCTTCCTTCTTATTAGTTTGATTCTCCTTCCTCATTTAAACATATGCAGTATTTTCATCCTTCACTCATATTTTAATATGGTTGTCTTTTATTTAGTAATTAATTATCTTTATATCCTTCTCCCCAGCACCCAATTCTACCTCTATTCGTTTACTTTTATTTTTCATTCACTTTCATCTTTTGTACTCATTTCATGCTTGCATATGTCTTAATTTTTTTTTATATATAGGATAGCATAATATTAGTCGCACATATTACAAACACATATCCTAACATATTTGGTTATTTTTTCGGTTCGGGAGACATAATTTTTGCGGATGTTGATTATGTGTAATTTTTCTTTTTCAATTGGTGAGGTTTAACGACAATCTTATTTTTGTGGTAGTATCCTAACATATTTGATCATTTTTTAGGTTCATGGGACATATTTACGCCTAAAATCTTGGCAGATGATGGTCATGTGTAATCTTTCTTTTTCAATTGGTTATGTTTAATGACAATCTCACCTTTGTAAATACTGTGCATGGGTATTTATATGGAATAGTGTACTTTGCAAATTTATTCATATATTTGTTACAAAGACAAATTAGGAGAACAAAAAATAAGTTTATCTTAACGATGGAGGAAACATAAGTTAGAGAGAAAAAAGAAGAAAAGAAGAAAAGAAGGAAAGAGAAACAAAAGGGAAAAAAGGAAAGATAAATTCGGACATCTCTTTCTTCTTTGTACGGGATGTGTCAAAAATTTTGAATTTTGTCTTCTCCTTTTTCATATTTTTAATTTCCTCCCTTTTCCTTATTCTTTTTTTTTTTTGATTTATCATAATTCATAAACACAAGAAATTTTGAAAAAAATACCAAAGAGGTATAGCGGGTGTGTATATATTCTATTCTATTCTATTCTATTCTTTCTATTTCTATTTCTATTTCTATTTCTACTTATATAGAAGAGCGCAGAAGCAACTCTCCGTCGGCATCCCTGCTTGCCGACGGAGGGCAATTGGGTATTTGCACTGTTCTATATTAGGTAAAATTCCTGTTGTGTCCCTGCACTAATGTTGTTCATGGAAAGACTACTTAGGTAAATTTGTAATCCACTCCCACCGCTTAATTTTGCTCTGGTTTATCATAATACCATAATTTTGCTCTACTTCAGCCTCTTGTTTTCTGCAAAATTCGCCCATCTTCTCTTCTTACTCGCTTAACCCTTGTGATTTTTACCGTGCTTTTTGCTTTCATAAATTGAATCCCAATTTCTGGAATATAAACTGATATTTTTGACAGTAAATTGACGTTTTGCTGAGTTTTTTGCAGTTTCACATTTGCTCACTAAGATGAAAGGTTAGTTTTAGTGTTCTATTTCTTCTCCTTCATATGGGTGACTTTGATTATTTTGTTTAGGGTTCTCTTGGTTTGCTGTTCGAATTTTTGTTGTTTGTGAAACTCAAAGAACAACTTGAAAAGAAACTGGGGTTTCCGCCAATAATTTTCCATCTTTGTGTGTATTTGAAGTTATTGTCATTTTTAAATTGGGGATTTCAAAATAGATGAGCCTCTCATTTTCTTATATTTGAACCACAATTCTAAGTTTCATCTTGTTCATCATGTTTCTTCCTCTGCCTCATCTTCAGATTTTGTTTTATCTCAAGTTTATCGATTTTGCTGCTACTTTCGACATCATTGGTCAATTGAAGCTCTTTGTGTAAGAAACCTGGGTCACTGACTTGAACGGTATTTCTTACTCTTACCACTCTGCTTTGTTCATACGTTAACTTCTGGGTTTAAAACCAATTGTTTGCTAGATCTCAAAATTTTGTTTCTTTCACAACTTTGTTTTCAATTAGCCTGCTATGTGTTTGTGAAATTGCCAACAACATTTACTTACCCATCTCAAGGTAAATATTTTTTAGTTTGATTAAGTCCATTGAGTATATTTGGGGACGATAATCCTGAGTTTATGGATTATTTAAGAACTCTAAGTGTTAGGTATTACTTGGGGTTATTGGGCGTTAATAGTGAATTTGGGGGTGCAGGCGAATTTGTTATGAACAGCTTAATTGAAGGTATTGGTTAGTCATAAATATTTTTATTCGGTCATGGCAAGATAAGTAAAAGAACTTGTGAAAGAATTATATAGAAAAATTCTTTCGTCAAATGGTTTGCTGCATATGCCAGACATTGGAACCTTTATATAGATTGTCGGAAAAAAAAAAAGGCAATGAGACAATATCTGCCTCGGGTCGTGATGGCACCAGACACCATTGTCAGGCAAGCCAACTAACTCATCCATTAATTTTTCTTTTAATAATTTTAAAAATCTAAGAGTTTTACTTTCATTTTTCATATACATACGACCTCTGTTTCAATTCAAATGAAGAGATAACTAATAATACGCAACCTTCAAAGAAAAACCATCCCAGAACCCGGTGTCACAAGAGCATGAGCAACTACTGATAAGGACGATAAAATATAAATGTCTGTCCGAAATACAGTGGACAGAGAATAAATAAGTAAGGTACTGGAAGGGAACTACTCTAGCTGCGGGTCGTCTCGAACAATGCAGCTCACCAAGTCCCCAAATCATCCGTGCTGCTACCAAATGTAAAATATACCTGTGCAACAAAAATGCACAGAAGTGTAGTATGAGTACGTAATCAACGTGTACTCAGTGAGTATCCCACCTAATCCCGAAGGGGTAGAGACGAGATGGCCAATTTCGACACTCACTAGAGGTCAATTATCAATATTCAATAATGCGAGGATAATCGTGGAGTCATATAGTAGTTCTAGTTCAGGAAGCCAGGAAAAAAACAAGTAAAACACCTTCAACAATAATCAAGGGCTTCAAGGTTTATTCTTTATTATCTTATCAGTTTATATCAAGCCACGTAGGGCCAATTCCACATTTACAATTTTCAAGTAACAGATAAACACGCGCAAATCATGCCGAGGTCGACGGCCCGCTCCAACAGAAATATAAATTGTGCACTGCCGAGGGTTGAGCGGCACGAACCATAGATGCATCTATTCTCACCGAGGCGTTCGGCCCGTTCCATAAATAAACACATACCCTGCTCGCGAATCATCCATGCGACGCAGACACACATAAAATACATGCTCAATCAGTCAAATAAGAACTTATCGGGGAATATTTATTCAAATAAAACCAATTCTCCTTTAACAATTTAAGAAATAAAGTTTAATCCTTTTAGAAATTTACTTACCAATTCGATGTGAGTTAAACAATTCGAGCTACCAATGGGTTCACAATTAATCCACGTGCAACATGTTTTTGG